CTAGATCTCCTGAACACTTGAATGTGGTCCCAGCCAGCTGGAATAAATATTTTCAATTGGCTATAAACTGTGTCTGAGTGGTCATCTCTAGTGGGTTACCCATAACATGCCAATGCTTAATAAATTCAGCATAACATACATGCTCAATTTAGCCTGAGGCAGTTTTTTTTTTCTTTTTGACAAGGGTAGAAAGCAACTACATTCTTTGCCAAAATCACAAGAATGCTTTCTAGGCCACTTACTAGTACTCTCCCCCTCTGAAATCTCTTGAGCCAGGCTGTCATAATTTACATTTTTTTCAGCATGATTGTCTTCTCTGACCCTATTATTATGGTCAGTTAAGCTCTGATTAAAGTATTCGACTGATTTCCTAATCTAAAGTTCCAAAGTCCACATTCAGACAAGAAGAAGCATGATTAGACCTATCATACCAGTATCCAGCTCCCTGGTACCAACTTTTGTCTTAGTCACTTTTCTATTGCTGTGAAGAGAGCTGTTCTGTTACAACTACCATCTATACTCTAACTCTCTGCTTCCTCTTTTTGGATCTCTCAGGGAAGCACTGAAATTGACTGAGGACTGTGGACACTGCTGGAAGGTTAGTTACTTGTGGTGGTTTGAATAGGTATGGCCTCCATAGACTCATGTTTGAATGTTTGGCCTATAGGGAGTGGCACTATTAGGAGTGTAGGTGTGGCTTTGTTGGAGGAAGTGTGTCATTGTAGGGCAGGCTTTGAGGTTTTATATGCTCAAGCCACACTCAGTATGACACACAGTTTCCTTCTGCTGCCTGCAGATCAAGATGTAGAACTCTCCAGCACTATATCAGCCTTCATGCTGCCATGCTTCTTGCCATGACAATAATGGACTAAACCTCTGAAACTGTAAGCAAGCTTCAGTGAAATGTTTTTCTTGATCATGGTGTCTCTTCACAGCAATAGAAACCCTCACTGGAAGTGTAAATTTCTGGTTCCTAGGAAACAAAAATTCTAGATCATTTTCCTTTATGAGATCAATGAGGGTGGCACCTCTGATGAGGGGTTAGGGCTTATTTATTTCCTGTCATCAGGGGACCCAGAACCATGTGTCCATTGCAAATATCTTTTATCCTCCCATGGGCAAATATAAAGGTACTCCTGGAACACCCTCACTACCTTTGTTTGGCATTTGTTCTGCATGGGGATGACTCCCATTTTGCCTTCCACAATCCAACCTCTGGGTTAGAAAACCTTTAAAGTCTGCAGAACCAGTTTCCACATGTTGGTCCCCATATATCAGATCTAGCAGGATGCATTTTTCTGAAAGCCTTTCTCTGAAAAGATCACAAAGTGATTAAGAAGCAGAGATGAAAGGTCATAGGTACAGACATGGGAAGGCCAGATGTACCAAATTCTTGAATGTGATGAGGATGTTCAAGATCTCTACCAGGATATCCTATAGAGCACCTCTGCTTCCCAGGGAATACTGTCCTCTCTTTTTTTGATGAAAAAAAATAAGGTGTCCATTGCCCCTGACACTTCCTTTGGATGCATCCTAAAGAATAATTTGATCTAAGACCCTTAAAAGGAGAAGGCTAAGTTTCTTTGACATTATAGTTTGGCTATAGTGTAGCCTAACAATTCAGGAAAAAAAAAAACTAAAAGATGGCACATACCTACAGCCAGATCTGTTTTAAAAATGGGAAGATGGCCGGGCGGTGGTGGCGCACGCCTTTAATCCCAGCACTCGGGAGGCAAAGCCAGGCGGATCTCTGTGAGTTTGAGGCCAGCCTGGTCTACAGAGTGAGATCCAGGACAGGCACCAAAACTACACAGAGAACCCCTGTCTTGAAAAACCAAAAAAAAAAAAAAATGGGAAGATGGATGGGGGAAAGTTCCCTGTGTCTAGGTTTACTTTTCCTGGAGAGATAACCCCAAATTCTATAAAGCTATAAGTTGGATCCCATTCAAGTGATTTATTCCCATAGACAATTCTGCTCAGCCACTTATCATTTATTGCAAATTCCCTGAAAAAAATGAAATTACATACAACATGATAGTCTCATAAATTAGAGACTCTTAGGCAATTTTAAATTTAAAGAAATATCAGAAGGTGGTCCTTCAAAACCAAACCTCCCCTTTTTGATCATAGCTTTTTCTTTCCCATAAACCTTATTGTCTCTTCTCCTCCAGTCATTTGTCCCAAGACTTTCACATAATTCGGACTGCCTTTACACTTGTGACTCCCAGTGTATGGTACACATACTGTCAGGATCCCTCTAAACTCTTTCTTTCCCTTCTCATTTTGTATTTTCTTGGGTGCCATTCTGGAGTGAATCTCGTGGTCCTGTGACTTCTGCCAGTCATTCCACCTTCTATTAAGTCAGCAAGTTTCTCCGTCACACAAATTTGGACTGATCATCTGGATAATTTATCCTTGTGCCAGAAGCCTTCTGTACTAGGTAGGTAGGTAGGATGTCTTTCTACTGGTGGAGGTTTCTGCTGTGGATATCACTCTGTATAAATAAAATGCTAATTGGCTAGTAGCCAGGCAGGAAGTATAGGTGGGACAAGCAGAGAAGAGAATTCTGGGAACAGGAAGGCTGAGTCAGGAGACGCTGCCAGCCACCACCGTGAGTACCAACATGTAAGATACTGGTAAGCCACGAGCCATGTGGCAAGGTATAGATTTATAGAAATGGGTTAATTTAAGATGTAAGAACTAGATAGCTAGAAGTTTGAGCCATTAGGCCAAACAATTTAAATAATGTAAGTCTCTGTGTGTTTACTCTGTTGGATCTGAGTGGCTGCAGGACTGGGGGGTGAGAGAGATTTGTCCTGATTGTAAACCAGGCAGGACTGGAGAAAACTCCAGCTACAGGTTTTTTAGCCTCTAGGGATGCTTTTTGGATTGATGATGACCCCCAGTAGGATCCATGGTGAGATTCACACCTTCCGTTCCTTCAAACTCGTCTTTGGTATCTACTCTTAAAAACTGGTATAAATTTGATTCTCAGACTCTCAACAGAAACCAGTTTTTGTTTTCCAAAAATTCCTGCTCCTTATATACATTTTCAGCCCAAGAATGCTCTACCCATGACATTTTAACACCACTATGGAGCTTGATGTATCCTTGTGCAACCTTTCTAAGAAGCAAAGTGCCCTCCATATGCAGGCTTTTATGTTCTTTTCTCAAGATCCAAATATACAAAAAACAAACATACAAGAAACCCCAAATAAACAAACAAACAAACAATCAAAACTCCTGCCAAATGTGTTTGGCTAGATTCTTGAGGACTTCAGGAGACTAGGACATCCTGGATAATCCCTCTTTGTCACACTTTTCTCTACTGATCAGTCAAAAGGGCAAAAGGGACTATTGGAAGGCAAAGAATGGGACTGAATAGCTAATCTATGGGGCTATCTCTTTATATCCCATAAAAAAGGATGGTCTCTGGATGTGAAGATGCCTAAATAAGAAAACAATCCTGAGGTGTACTGCAAAGGGGGCAAATGCTCAGCATTTAACCTATCACTGACACCAACAGCAAGTCTTCAGTCTAGACTGCCTTACACTTTTTTGTCTTTACTTTATCTCATCTGATTTAAAAAAAGACAACAGAGCCATGTGTCACCAATACAAAGAATGACTTTAACATCTCAATCTGTATAAAAATTATTTGATTTTGATTGTACAATATGAGTGACATTTAAACTTTAAAAATTGAGCATCATCGTTGTTGCTGTTATAGCAGTGGCGGCCACCACTGCTACTGTTTCTGGGATTACCATTTCATAATTGGTTACTACAGCTAGCACAGTGGAGACCCTGGCAGCAAAAGGAGCTACCACAGTTAGTTAATCTTTCATTCTATTGGGCATGATAAATTTAATTCAATAGTTATATACATTTCGATTGGCTTTGAAAATTATAAATTTATAAACTCAAGTTCCATTTACTTTTGAGATACCATCTTACAAGGACTCCAATTTGCAGTAAGGCTCATTAAGGAAGGGAATGGCTCAGTTGCCTTTAGCCTATCGGCTATGGGTGGGTTAGGACTTCTGTTGGTCTTTTATGTATCGAACACACAGATTGCAAGCCCAGTGCCACTTTGAGATCTTTGGCAGCAGTTAACTGCAGCTCACACAGGATTGAGCCTGTATGATAATGAGTATTCAGAGATGGGTAATGCCTGGGGGGCGCTCACCAACCTAAGACAGAAAGCCTGTGTGCCCTGGGCAGTCATCTCCATGATGGGTAAGGTGACCTCCTGACGTCGTCCTACGCAACCTAAGTCAGAAGCTCATTTTTTAGTAAAAGGGGGACCTGTAGGGCCCTGTCCCCCATTTTGGGTAACTGTTGCCTTGCTTGCTGACCTTGACCTTGATATCCTCCCTATGCTAATTCCCTGCTGGGTTCCACCCTCCTGAATTCTTAAGGGAACTTTCTTGTCTGTGTATCCTGCATAATGGGTGTTAACAGCTTAGATACAAGATTGTAAAGCATCGGTAGCAAACTTCTGCCCTCTGGGGTTCTCCCATTGTGCTGTAAGCCTGTATTTAAGACCTCCTCCCTCCTTCAATAAATGGCATTCAGCATAAAAAAAAATTTAAAAAAATTGAACATCATGTAAAATAAACTATGGTGCTCAAAATAAGTATGGGAGAGGAATACAAATCTACTGAATGTCAATGGCACTAACTGAAATACCATGTTTTTACTACATAGTTAATGTTTAGACTATTAACTAGCAAAGTTCACTTAAATTGTGAAAAACAATAATCTGATTAAACTTTTTTCGTAGCTTTTCAAGATTAGTAAGGCATAACAAACATTCTTTAAACAAAGGAGGAATAACTGATGTAAGATAAAATTTCCCCTTGCCAGGGAGTGACATGAACCCAAGCAAGGTACTATAAAAATGTTAATTTTGACAATAACTAATACAATTGCTTATTGTTAGTTACGACACACCAGAACAGTTATGTTTGGGTACATGTCTTCCAAAGGTTTGGTCACTACACTGTGGTGATATGGGCAGACTTGGCAAACCCTTGTAAAAGGTAGAATTTCGTGAGAAATCTGAAAAGTAGGGGTTTGCCCTCAAAAGTGATTGTGAGATCCCTTATCTTTCTCTCATTTCCTGGACACCAAAAGGTGAGAAGCTTTGCTCTATCCACACATTTCCCCCTAGCCCTAACTCTAACCCTATGAAATCTCCAGAACTGTGAGCCAATAAAGCTTTTGTTTGTAAGCTGTTTATTTGTTATTTGTCACAGTAATAAAAAGATAATACAAAAGACTGTCTCAGAAAATAAATGTTTCGGGGCTGGAGAGATGGTTCAGAGGTTAAGAGCACTGACTGCTCTTCCAGAGGTCCTGAGTTCAATTTCCAGCAACCACATGGTGGCTCACAACCATCTGTAATGAGATCTGGCACCCTACTCTGTATACATAATAAATAAAAAAAAATCTTTAAAAAAATTTTTAAAAAAAGGAAAATAAATGTTGCTCCTTTTAATTTCCAGTGTCTTAGCCAGGTGGTGGCAGCACACATCTTTAATCCCAGCACATGGGAGGCAGAGGCAGGTGGATCTCTGAGTTTGAGGCCAGCCTGGTCTACAGAGTGAGTTCCAGGAACTCCACCCCCTCAAATCCCAGTGCCCGAAAGCAAACTGAGCACCACTACTAAGATAATTCAGCCATATCAGAAATAGACCAGTGTAATTTAATATTGTTCAATCCCAACATTAACCTTTTACTTCCAGACAACTGAGCACTAGATTCTTTTTATTGAGTTAAGTATTTCTTTTTAACAGAACCACTTTACAAGTCTTTTCCTTAAAAAAATTATTAATTATATTTTTTAAAAGCTACTTTTATTTAAAAAACACATTGATGGGCCAGCCATATGGCTCAGCCTGTAAAAACAGTTCCTAGCAAGGCTGAAAACCTTTCAGTCTCTGGGAATCACATGGTGGAAAGAAAAGAATCAACTCTTGCAAGTTCTTGATTGCCACATATATCATACCCTTCCCATAATGAATACATACAAAGAAATCAACAAAAATAGAAATAAAAAAATTCTTTGTTCAAAGAATCATAGATTAAGAGTCATGCATCCTTTAGTATAGAAATTTGCAGGTCTGCACATTACTTGAGACCAGAAATCCCTTAGGATGCTCACCACCCCCTTCCCACTTCTGCAGCTAGTTAAACTCAATTGATATTTGTACTATGCATCGCCTACAGAGTGCTTAATTACAAAAACTTTTGTGTATATTATAGAATTCCCACAATAGGAATGAATCTTTGAGTAATTACAGATCTAAACAATGGACTTGCTCTTTAGAAATATGAATACATATACCCTTTCTGTCTAGCACTCTTGAGTGTTGTCCTTTTTAAACAGATGTGAGCTCTATCTGTAAGCTTACTATACAATTGTGTTTTAACAGGAAAATAGAGTTTTCAGGAATAAAGTGAAAATACATCTAGTAGCATGCATTTAGAAAAGCATGACACTGAAACATACCTTTCTTACTAAGATCAATAGCAGCTTCTAAAAGCACTTCTAATTCCCATTTCGGCAAAACTGGAATGACCCATCGAGGCCTAGGAATTTACAAAATAAAGAGGCTTACTGGTTATGCACAAAATAAAAGAGGTACTATAGTCAGTTACTAATTACAATTATTTATTTTCACTATGAAAACATTAAGTAGGCCGGGCGGTGTGGGTGCACGCCTTGAATCCCAGCACTTGGGAGGCAGAGGCAGGTGGATCTCTGTGAGTTCAAGGCCAGCCTGGTCTACAAAGTGAATTTCAGGATAGGCTCCAAAGCTAAAAGAGAAAACCTGTCTCAGAAAAAAAACAAAAACCAAAAAACATTAAGTATTAACTAAAATAATATTAAATATTAAAACAGTGGGTCTGGTTGAATCATTTTTTTTACAATTAAGCATCATTTGTTGTCTCTACAAGCAGACTTTTAAAAATTATAAGAGAAACTACTATAATAAAGTATCAATTAGGCATCACAGAGGCCTATTATTAAATCTTCATAGGCAAAGGCTTTCAGATCAGATTAGAAAAGGCATGCCTTGAAATTCTTCACAAGGAACAAAAACTTCAGGAGGCCAAGACTGATTTATGCCTTATAATCTATCAATTTTTTCTAAAGGATCTGCAGAATCCACAGGTGTCTCTCCCTTAAACAAGGATGCAGCATTCTCTCTAGTTTCAGTGCTGACCCAAACATCTGGCCATTTATCCTTTTCATAGGCCTTCTCAATCATCACTATTTAATTCACCCATTGTTCCCCAGAAGAGTCAACCTTCTAGCCAACCACTGAACTCGCCTAAGAGCTGGTAAAATTCCCAACCACTCTTGCCCCCTTTTTTAATAAAAGCACTTCATTAATAACCTATTAGAAACAAATAACTATCATCATTTATTTAAAAATGTCCTTTGCATTTTTCTTTCATAAAGAATTGTTTTTATGCAACCTAGTATCTAACCTGCATATTTTACCAACCACCAGACAAAACTGAAATGTAACAATGCAGCTTTCTGTTATGTCATCTCTGCTGTTAAGAACAATCAAGGATTTTATAAATATCCTTAACATTGATTTGACAATAATTCATTGCATGCAATTATTACAAGCTGCTACTACAAGCATGTATATTTCTCTTAAATGTTCCCTTTAAAATGAGTCAATTGAGAGAATATTTCAAACAAGTAAAACAAGTTATAAAATTATAGTAAGATTTTATATTTATAGAAAAACTCAATACATATATAATAGTAAACACAAATATGGAAAAATGTACTGATTTATGTTAAGAGAAACTTTTTGGTTAAGATATGTGGGGGGGAAGGGGCTAGATAAATTTTATCTATTTACTATATATTACACAACATAGTTCTGTACTTAACAATGCATACTTATTACTAAGAAATTCAGATTTTTGTTTGTGTGTTTTTTCCAGATAGGGTCTCACTATGTGTGGCTCAGGTTGTCCTAGAACTTACTGTGTAGACCAGGTTGGCCTTGAACTCACAGAGATCTGCCTGCCTCTGCCTCCCAAGTGCTGAGATTAATTATGTGAGCCACTACACCCAGCTCAGTTTTTTTTAATGCAAAGGATTTTATTTCTCCATATATGTATTTAACAATTTTGACTTTTATTAAGTAAAAATACAACAAAAAGGTAAAATGCCTATATTTTCATTATTCTTTTTAAAATGCTCTCGGGCTGGAGAGATGGCTCAGAGGTTAAGAGCACTGACTGCTCTTCCAGAGGTCCTGAGTTCAATTCCCCGCAACCACATGGTGGCTCACAACCATTTGTAATGAGATCTGGTGCCCTCTTCTGGCCTGCAGTCATACATGCTGTATACATAATAAATAAATAAATCTTTTTAAAAAATTTAAAAAAATAAAATAAAAATGCTCTCACTTTTAATCAATTAATTTGTGTGTATGAGTGCTCTGTCTGCATGTATGATTGGTGCCTTTAGAGGCCAGAAGAGCCTGGACTCCCTGGGTCTGGAGTAATAGACGACAGCTGTGAGCTGTCATGTGGGTGCCAGCAATAGAATCAAAGTCCTCTGGAAAAGCAGCAAGTGCTCTTCATGGCTGAGCCATTGCTCCAGTGCCCACTACCCTTTCTGAGGGGCCCCTTGTTGAGCTCACACTACCCAGTGAGGACTACGTTCAGATAGGGGTTTTTCTTTTTGTTTTTAATATGCTCTTCTGTTTCTTTACATCCTTTCCTTACCCTGAAGAATATCTTAAAAGTGTCATTCTCTTGAGTCAGCATGAAGGGCAGGCTCTGAGAAACATCTCATGACCTGGTTTGCTTCAGGGCTACCCTAAAGTTATTAAAGTTAGTCAAGAACCAACATGCCCACTGAAAAGAAGCTTCATCAACTCTTAAAAAGGCAAACTACACAAACAGTTCTACTTTGGAAATGAACAACTAGGGCCATATAGTTAACTTCACGAATGTTCTCGCTCTTTTTCATTGTATCCAACAAGACCCATGTGTTATAAAGTACTTGATAGTGACTATGATGGGAAGATTAGGCAGTAGATTCCTCTTCACCGTCTTTGTGTTACCTGTCACATATAATGCTGAAAAACTTGGTTTTCTTATGCATCATACACACTAGAAACGAAAACAAATGACCTGTTGATCATATCGTCTAACTTTGCCAAGTCAGTATGTGGAAATGCAGGTTCCTCATCTTCAATCTGTGGAGGGGCATCACCTTGACCTTGCTCATCAGGAGGAGTTGCCGGGGAATTCTCATTGGAAGAATCAGGCGATGAAGTCTTGATTAAAAATTAAAAATTAAACATTCCAGATATAAGTTTCTATAACACACACACACACACACACACACACACACACACACACACACACACACACGACAGTAGTCTAAACACTAAGAGATTAGCATTAGTTTTTAAAATGTTAGTAGCATAAAATTTTACAAAGACATCATTGAAAGCTTATGATTTAATATAATCTTTCAAAGTTTGTGCTGGATTACAAGATGAAGTAGCAACCTAATGATGAACTTTTACACTAAGGAGGGAGAACACAGCTAAGTCACCAGGCAGAGAATTCAAATGCTAGAAGCCCCATACAAATAGCTAATTTGAAGTCTATAGCTTTAGAAACCTGTTTTGTTTTTAAACAACCAACAAAACACTTTGTCCTGTATTTACATGCTCACAGAAAATAGAGACAAAACCAATTTTAAACATCTGTAATACCACACCAACAAATAAAACACCAGCAATGACATTTTAATTACCTCCTTGTGATCTTTTTATGAACTAAAGAAAAACTGTCCATGTATGCATAAAATTTCAATAAAATTGGGACTGTATCTGTCCTTTTCATTCAATATCTAAGTAGTCAAAATTATCAGCATTACATAAATTAAAATTAATACAATGAGTCTTTGTCATGTATAAATCTTGTAGAAAACACATTTTTCTTTAGGACAGGACACTAGAAATATTAACTACAACAGTATAGACAATTTCTTTTAAAACTATTGGCATACATAGTCAAATTACATTCTAGAACCTTCTCAGATATATCGGAGGAACATTCATCCCACTTGTCACTGGTTTTAATGACATACTAGGAGTCTTAAATTTTATTCTATATGTACAGATTTTAAAGTTAAAAATTTGATTAAGAATTATTAATGCTCTTGCCACTGAGCCTGAAGACTCGAATTAAACACCCAGAACACACATTGTACAGAAGTGACTCCCTCAGGTTATTTTTTAATTTCTCTTTATGTCAATACATGTAAAGCTTATGAGAAACTGAGCCCTGGGCTGGAGGGATGACTCAGCACTTAAGAGCACCCACTGCTCTTTCAGAGGACTAGAGTTCAATTCCCAGCACCCATATCAGGTAGCTCATAACCACCAGTTTCCAGGGAGATCTCATACCACCTCTGTAGGTATCTCTACTCATGTGTATATACCCACACATAGATGTACATACACACATAATTAAAAATAACAGAAAGAAAAAACAAACAAAAACTAAGCCCTAAATCAAGTGCTGACTAAATATTTGGTTGCTTCTTTGTGGTCCAACAGTATCAGAGTTTGTGAAATAATTAAAATCCTAACATTAAATAATATAAAATAGCCTGGGTAGTGGTGGCACACACCTTTAATCCCAGCACTTGGGAGGTAAAGGAGGCAGATCTCTGTAGGTTCAAAGCCAGCCTGGTCTACAAAGTGAGTTCTAGAATAGCCAGGGCTACAGAGAAACCCTGTCTCAAAAAATCAAAACCAAAACCAAAACAAAACATAGCAATAAGAAACAATGAAGAAATTTTATAGGTAAACAGAGTGGTTCTATAGTTAAGAATGTAATTTGCTTTTGTTCTTTTGTTTTAAAAATGCAAGTTATCTTCAATAGATGAACACAATGTGCACATACTAATACCTAACAGACATGTACTATTACTATCACAAACCTAAGACCTCTAAAAATCAAGTATATTTTAAAATAAAAGTAACATGTCTTTTTTAAAACACAGATTTGTTTATTTATTATCTATACAGTGTTCTGCCTACTTATGCCTGCATGCCAGAAGAGAGATCTCAATTACAGATGGTTGTGAGCCATCATGTAGTTGCTGGGAATTAAACTCAGGATCTCTGGAAGAGCAGCCAGTGCTCTTAACCTCTGAGCCACCTCTTCAACCCCTAACATATGCTTTTAATCCCAGGACTTGGGAGGCAAAGACAGAAGGATCTCTGAGTTTAAGGCCAGCCTGGTTTACAAAGGGAGTTCCCGGGACAGGCAGAGCTACATAGTGAGAGACCCTGTCTCAAAACAAAACAAGTGTAATGTTAACAAACAGGATTTCTTTTCACTGAAAAACCCTGCAAAGTCATGAAAATTGCAAAAAGAGGTTAGTATCCACACACAATACAGGTAATAAAGCAGAAAAAAAAGAGAGAGAGGAAGATAAACTACTAGCTCCTGGTTTAAAATTAGTAAACATTGGTATCTAACAGCCCTTTGACTATACTTAAAGAAACTTGAATACTGGCCTTCAAATTTATGGGACAGGAAAGACCTTTATTTTGTCAAAATTTGTGACCATATACATTACCATTTTATGTCTCAAAAATGGGAATTAGAAAAGGAAATGAATTAACAAAGTTGGCACATTTGGGAGGGAGGGACCTGGCTTGCTCATTTCTCTCAAGTGGCAGAGGAAGGGGAGGCAGAAAGAAAAAAAAGGCCTTTTCTACCAGACTAAAAATAGAGTATGAAACCTGTAACACCTGAACAGTAAAAACTTAGCCCCAAACTACAAAGTACTCTACAATGATAACACTTTTGCTTTAAAAGTTATCCATACAAACCCCACAAAAATGTGTATCTCTGTAAGCAGCGTGTCTGTTACTCATGTATACACGTATACACAAACCAACTAGTTTACCCCTAAACACCACCACAGGAGCTGCATTATCACAATCTTATTCTTTGGCTTATTCAACCTAATTCTTCAAAGTATAAAACTGTATAGATTAGAAAGGGTTGAGATAAATTTCAGGAGATGAAAACAAGAAAATTAATTCCAAAGAAAGTAAAGAACAATTAAATAAGGTTTTGTAGAAGCATGTGGTGTGTTTTATGGGGGATGGGATCAAAGTCCCCCAAAAAAGATTTTTTAGGGGGGGAGCAGCAATGTATTAATGAAATTGGTAAGCACCATGAAAGATTGATCAGGAGAGAGAATACAAATTAGTAGTATCAGAGATGAACAAAGAAAGACACACTGCCACAAACCCCCATATATACTAAAAAAAAATAGTCAAAAGGATATTATAGGGTCTGAGGTGAGAAGCAGTTTCAAGTTATATAGTATATATACACTTAGCATATGCAAGGACCTGAGTTCCATCCCAACACTCAAGGACACAAACAGTATTATAAACAACTGTATTTAAATAAAGTTGGCACTCTAGATGAAGTGGACAAAAATGACCAAGATAAAAAAATGGTTTTTTTTTGTTTTTTTCTTTAAGAAAATCCTTATTTAAAAAGATGGATCTAGGCTGGGCACAGTGGTTCACACCTTTAATCCCAGCACTTGGGAAGCAAAAGCAGGTGGATCTCTGTAAATTTCAGACCAATGTGATCTACATTGTGAGTTCCAGGACAGCTAGGGCTATGTAGAGAGACCCTGTCTCAAAAAACAAAAAATATGGCTCTACATAGAAAATCTGCTTACAAAATCAAGTTTTTTTTAATTAGTAAATTTTACTAGTAAAATCTTGCAATGGGGGAATAGACATCAGAAGAACCAGAAACCTTACATAAGCCGATTGAGAAAACAGAAAAATAATATTACTTTAAGAGCTTTAGGGAAAGCAAAAGACTGACCGACGCTAAGATCTTTACAAACATTATTTCACTTGATCCTCAAACAATGCCATGAAGTTCCATTACTGTTATCCCTATCAAATGAAGAAACTGAGGCTTCGAGATTATATAATTTACCCAGTCATAAAGCTGATAGATGAAATTTGATTTGAGTGCCAGTAATAAGACTTCGCTCCATAGTCTTTAAAAATCTTATTGTGAATAGACAATTTATAATTTTATATATGTGGCATACAAAATAGAGTTCTGATTTACTTGGTCCCATAGGCTACACTGAATAATACAATGGTTTTTTCCAGAATCGACAGAGGGCTTAAAATTGTTCATTTTATTGAAGACTGACAATGTAAGACAGCTGAAAAAGATATGAAAGAAAACAATGTTGCTTTCAGCACTTGAGTTTTTTGTTACTGCTGAAGACCTATATTTACTTTTCTTAAACAAAACATTCATTTTATGGTTGCTTCACAATCATTTCTATCATGTTTCCACACTCAGCACTCAAGAGTATAGGAGATATATCAATGTGTCTTTATCTTTAATGTCTTACCTGGTTCTGTTGGAGGGGGGGCTGAGACTGTCCATCAGGAGCTTGGCCCTGGTTGTCATTCCCTCCAACTGGAGAGCCACGAGTTGTGGCTGTCATACTCGACACAGGGCAGATCTTTGCAATTTTGTCTGCTTATGTAGTTGTCTTAAGAAAAGAAATTATAGTTCACTTATAGAAGATGAAGTACCAGCATTTGTCAGTCTTAAAAAGCTCCAATTCAAGAATAAAACATCTTGCAGAGACCATTGCATAACCTACAAGTAGAAAGGAAAAGAGAACATTTTGTTAAAAGATTTATTTATTATGTATACAGTGCTCTGTCTGCATGTATGTCTGCAGGCCAGAAGAGGGCACCAGATCTCATTACAGATCGTTGTGAGCCACCATGTGGGTGCTGGGAATCGGACTCATGACCTCTGGAAGAACAGCCAATGCTCTTAACTGCTGAGCCATCTCTCCAGCCCGGTCTGATCCGGTCTGAACCGGATTAAACCAGTCTGAGCTGGATTGAACTGGTCAGAACCTGTCTGAAACAGATTAAACCAATCTGAACCGGTCTGATCCTGTCTGATCCAGTCAGATCTGGATTTAACTGGTCTGATCCGGTCTGAACTGGTCTGATCTGTGTCTCTCTCCATGGCCTCTCTCCGTGGCCTCCATGTCTGCTCCCCTGCCCCTATAACCCCCTGCGCCCTGTCTGCCTGCCCCCCCATCTCCTTCTCCATCTCCTTCACTGTCTCCTTCACCGTCTCCTGGTTGTCCTGGATCTCACTTTGTAGACCAGGTTGTCCCCAAACTCACCGATATCCACCTGCCTCTGCCTCCAGAGTCCTGAGATCAAAGGCCTGCGCTACCAGCTAGTGCTCTTAACTGCTGTGCCGTCTCTCCTACCCTCTATAGTGTCTCTCCATGAACCTAGAGCTCATCAATTAGGTTAGCATGGCTGGCCAGTGAGCCCCAGGGCTCCTCCTATGTTCCCCTCCCCAAAACTGAGATTATAAACACACACTATGATGCCTAGCTTTTCCTGTGGGTGATTCAACTGAAGTTCTCAAGCTTTTGAGATAGTCTACTAACTTGAGCTATCTCTCTAGCTCCTGACCTTGAATTTCTGATTCTCCTGCCTTCCCAAATTGGGATTACAAGTATAGGCCACCACCTCTGGTTTATGGGGTGCTGGGGATTGAACCCAGGAAGAGAGGCTTTGTTTATACTAGGCTATGCTAGTGACTACTCTACCAATTGAGTTACACCCCAGTTTTCACTGGGATGCCTGTGGAGATGAGCAGGATAGCCTCACTGGGTGTCAGGTTATCAGTAAGGACCCAGAGGTCCTCTCCAGCGACAGCCACACCCTGGGCTTCCTTATATAGTAACCAGACATTTCTAAGAGAATCCATGCCAAAGGACCAAGCTTCTTGCTGATGGGACTCCCTTCTACCGGCTACAGGAAGTCAGCCCAGCCTGGGGAGGAGAGCAGAAGAGACATCATGTCCACACAGGAGGAATTGGGAGGGAGACACATTGCAGAGGGTGTACAAAGCAGGATAGGAGGTGTCTGCAGCCTTTAAACAATCTCCCAAGGCTTGTTTCCATCAACATTACTTTTTAAAAAATTAATTAATTTATTTTTAAGAAATTTTTTATTCATTTTACATACCAACCACAGATCTCCCTCTCTTCCCTCCTCCTGCTCCCCTCCCAGTCTCCCCCACCCCACCCTATTCCCTCCTCCAAAAAGGTAAGGCCTCCCATGAGGAGTCTACAAAGCCTAGTACATCCTATGGTGGGAAACCTTGCACAGCCTTGATGCAGGGGGAGGGGCTTGGACCTGCCTCTACTTTTTTGTTTTTTAACAAAAATGTTATGTGGCCAGGCAGTGGTGGCACAAACCTTTAACCCTAGCACTTGAAGCAAGAGATGCCAGGAGACACGGAAGAAGCAGGATGGGTGGTACGTGACAGAACGTAGATTAATAGCAATGGGTTAATTTAAGTTATAAGAGCTAGTTAAAAACAAGCCTAAGATAAGGTAGATCTTTTCTAATTAATAATACATCTCTATGTTGTTATTTGTGAACTGGACACAAAGGAAAGTCCGACTACAGGTGTCAGAACACCTGGAACTGGAGTTAGCTGTGAGCCACCAGGTGGGTGCTGGGAATTGAACACAGATCCTCTGGAAGAGCAGCCAGTGCTACTACCCAGCCATCTCTCCAGCTACTTTTTAGAGCAGCTTTGGCTTCCTAGCAATATTGAGCAGAAGATACCCAGAGTTCCTGCATATCTATCAGGTTGCTTTTCTCGTGTGTGCAGAGTGCTTGTCTATCACAGACAAAGCCCTGAGTCCCACAATCCCTAGCACTACCAGAATGCTTCATAGTGCATGTGTGTGTCCATGCAAGTGGAGGCCCAAGGACAGCCTCAGGTGTCATCATTGCTCAGGCACTTTGTTTCTGTTTGGAGATGAGTCCTCTCACTGGCCTGGGACTCCTCAAGTCGGCCAGGCTGGCTGTCCAGGGACGGCTCTGCCCGCCTCCACCTCCCCAGCAATAGGATCAGTTACCAGCACTTACAACCCCCCTAGGCCCCCACCCGCCACACACACACACACACACACACACACACACACACACACACACACACACACACACACACACTTTTTAATGTGGATTCTAGATGTAGAACTTGAGTCCACGTGCTTATCTGGGAAGCACTGAATCCTTTCATACTGGCCTCTTTTCTTTCACTTATCCATTGCATTGTGGTGAACTTTCCAAGCACTCCCCACCTCTCTCTAGAAAGTAGGGTCTTCATATGTAACTCAAGCTAGACTCAAACTTTTGGCAATTCCTTACTTTTGCCTCCTGAGTTTGAGGGTTACAGGCTGGTGGCAGCTGCTTTGTGGGTTTGTTTTCATTGTTATTTGGTTGTTTTCTTCTTTCTTTTTGAGATAGAGTCTCACTGTGTTGCTGGCCTTGAATGCCCTGGATCCTCTTTCCTCTGCCTTCCAAGCAGCTGGGGCTCATTGCTCACTTCAGCATAAGACTGACATGGTTTTGTTCTTGCAAGAACCACATACTCTTCTTGATCTAGACTTTTTAATGAGGAACACCCTGAATGTTTGATACCATCAAGGAAATTCTTTTTCTTTTCCTTTGTTTGATTTTTTGAGACAGGATCTCTCTACATAGTCCTGGCTCTCCTAGAATTTGCTATATAGACCAGGCTGGCCTCAGACTCACAGAGATCCTCCTGCTTCTGGCTCTAGTGCTGGGATTAAAGGCAGGCATCCACCACACCAGGCTAGGAAAATCTTAACCCTGGTAAATGTTCCATAATTTTTATTGTCTACCTATATTTGGCAATGGTAGAAATTCTATTTAGGGAATTTGCTAATTCTTCCTTTTGTGGACTTTTGATTTTATTTTTGTTTGTTTGTTTGTTTATTGTTGTGTGTGTGCATGATGAAGGGGCCTGTGTGCCTCAGCATGTGAGTGGAGGTAAGAGGACCATCTCATGAAGTTGTCTGTCTTTCTTTCTTTGATTTTGGTTTCTCAGCTGCGCCCTCTGAAGTGGGTGGGCATGACTAGTCCAGGGATCCTGTGTACATTATTTTTAGCTTCCTCTTCTGAAATGTTTCCTGAGCCTTAGTGGTGGACACATACATACAGATGCCCTGTTTAGGGATGAGTTCTCAGTCTCCTAGTATCATCTGACCAGTCACCCATCTCTGCATTGAGTGCTCTCTACTACATAAAGAGGCTTCTCTGACCAAGGCTGAGAGCAGCCCAGGTCTGCTGGTCCCCTCATAGGTGGGGTAGATAATTTCCAGGCACTACCCCATACTACAGTAGATAGTTGACAGAGGAAGGAAGGAGAATCATTTTTTTAATTATTTATTTTGCATGTATGAATGTTTTAGTGTTTTGCCTGCATATATGTATAAATATATAATATAATATAAATGTTATATTATTATAAAATAATATAAATAAAAATGTAAATATAAATACCCACAGAGACCAGAAGATGGTGTTGGATCCTCAGCTACTGGAGTTACTGATGGTTGTGAGCTGCCATGTGGTGTTGGAAATAGAACCCAGGTCCCCTGCAAGATCAAGGGCCCTAAAACACTTGAGCTGTCTCTTCAGTTCTGAGAATCATGCTTTATGGAGGATGTGGCCACTGATCGGTTTTCCAATGTTCCATTGGACATCCATGCAAGTATAGGCAGCACTAATTGGACTTAGTGTGTTATCAAAAAACAAAAGGAAGACATGAAGTTGGGAAGACAGTGTGTGAAAAGAAATTTATAGAGAAGAAATGGGGCTAGATATGATCATATTTCATTGTATACATGTATGAAATTCTCAGAAATAATGGAGGAAATAGTGATAATTAGGGCTGGTGAGAAGACACTTGCCACCTGTTAGCATTTAGGCATCTGTACTGGCCTGCCCTTAGGGTCCTGACAGAATATACATACTGCAGCTGCAGCCACTAACCTCTTGTGTGCATTCGCTATGTTTCCTTATAAAGGCAGGCCTTGTACACACACCTCCCTGTCTCTCTCTCTCTCCCTCCCTCCCCCACCCTGCTCCCCCCCTTTCTCTTTCCTTTCCTTGTCCCCAGGAACCGGTCTCTGCCCTTTCTCTCCCCTCTCTTCAATAAACCCCCTACCTGGGCCCTGTTGTATGGTATGACTCCATCCCGCCATTTTTAAAATATACCACCAAGCCTGACAACCTGAATTTGAACCCTAGGACCCACAGAGTCCTTTTGTTGATAAATGCACACACTGATTTCTTTCCTTTTGATTGTTTAAATTTTGTGGTTATTATTATTGTTGTTATTATTATTATTATTGGTGTGTACATGATGTGGAGAGGGGGGCACATAGCCGCAGCATGTGCATGGAGGTCAGAGAACAACTGCTGGCAGCCCACAGAAAAGGGCACGGGAGAAGGAAGCTTTTTGTCCTCACTTTTGCTGGCAAGTTCGTCTATCCTGATGCTAAGGCATTCCTTCCCTGGCATTAGAATCTCCTTCTTCAGGATTCTCGAGTATACATACTGAAGACCCGCTGAGATCTACAGTCAACTACTGGATTCTTGGCCTTTCTGTCAGGAGACGGCCATTGTTGGAGTAGCCGGGCCGCAGCCTGTAAGGCACTCTAATAAAACCTCTTTTTATTTGTGTGTATAGATCCAA